TTTGGCTATTTTCCCAGAACATACAGGTAGAGGAGCAGAGCAGGCAGCACTTCCTCTTCTTGTATTAGAGGTTTGGCTGCCACAGGACCATGTTTCAGTCCGAAAGAATGGCACGCAAGCCTACACTGTACACCGAGATGGCACCTGCTGTTAGTCGACTCCCATAACACAAAGGAAACTGCATGTGGTCCACGAGTTAGCAGCCCTGACAGAATATTCCAGATCCCATCTAACACCAATAGGTAATAAATGCAATCAATAGTATTATTTATCATTTATATATAATTACATAAAATTATTATATTATAATGTATACCATGTCTTTCAAATTAACATTGAACACTGTTATACACGATGAAGGTCAAATGTCAGCAAACATCTGCAAAGAATCTATAAAAAGTTAAATTTACCGATATGCAATTGGGTATTGAGACCCCCAAAACAATACTTAGTGAAGCAATTACTGCCTTCAGCCTTTTGGAAAGACCTTGACCAGACTGCACACTGGTGGGATAGTCGTTTCTGCCCATTCCTCCTGACAACATTTTCTCAGTTCTGATTAGTTTGCTGGGGATCACTGATGGACTGCAATTTTCAAGACTGGCCACAAATTAACAAGTAGAGTTACATCCAGTCTTTGAACAGGCTGCTCAAGGACCTTAATTGTCTTGCTGAGGTCCTTGGGTAATTCGAGCAGCGTTCCTTGAGGACGCGCCTGTACTCTGCCCCAGCAGTCCGTGCTGATGAGAGGTCGTCACCAGTATGGTTTGCCAGTACGGACGGTGCTGACTGGGTGATGTGATGGGCTCCCACCAAAGGTCACACTTTGCATTGAGAGCAAAAACTCTTTTCTTGTCTGAACATGAAAAACCTCTGCTGCCAGCCTGCAGTAAATCTCGTGCAAGAGTTAAAGACAGGTTGGTAATGGCTGATGTCTTTCCACTCACTCATACTGGCCAGCTTTGTATCGGATATTGTCGATGAAGCAACAGTGGCTCAAATTTCAAGCACAGAATTTTGCAGATCTTTCAAAGTTACTGTCGGCTTCACAACAGCACCTAGAACCACTATACTGCTTGCTCCTCTTTCTTCGTTTTTAAAGGAGCCTGATCTAGATGGTATGACACAAACTCCACTTTTAAATGGGTGACTTCACCTTGCTCAAAGGAATAAGACACCTTTTTCTGATCCATGCCTGCCT